TCAAGCAATTCTTCTGCCTCAGCTTCCTGAGTAGCTGGGACTACAGGCGTATGCCACAATGCCCAGCTAATTTTTTTTGTATTTTTAGTAGACACGGAGTTTCACCTTATTGGCCAGGCTGGTCTCAAACTCCTGACCTCAAGTGATCCACAAGCCTCGGCCTGCCATAGTGCTGGGATTACAGGCATGAGCCACTGCATCTGTCTAATTTTTTTGTAATTTTAGTAGAGATGGGGTTTCTCCACGTTGGTCAGGCTGGTATCGAACTGCTGACCTCAAGTGATCTGCCTGCCTCTGCCTTCCAAAGTGCTGGGATTACAGGCGTGAGCCACCCTGTCTGGCTTAAATTCTTTTTATTTGTATAGATTGAGGGAGTAAAAGTACACATTTACATGCCTATATTGCAAGCTCCTGCCCAGCAAAATAAATAATCAATAGTAAACAGCCTATAGAATGGGAAAAGGAAAAAGTAGTTGCAAGCTATACATCTAACAAGCGCTCAAGTGATCCCCCACCTCAAGCAAGTAGCTGGGAGCACAGACAAGCACCACTATGCCTGGCTAATTTTTAAAATATTTGTAGAGACCAGGTCTCACCATGTTGCCTAGGCTGGTCTTGAATTCCTGGACTCAACCAATCCTCCTGCCTTGGCCTCTCAAAGTTCTGAGATTACAGGCATGAGGCACAGCAACTGGCTTTGCCCACTTTTTAATGGGGTTGTTCTTTTCTTCTTGAGTTGAGTTCCTTCTAGATTCTAGATATTAGCCCTTTGTTAGATGTATAGCTTGCAACTATTTTTACCCATTCTGTAGACTGTTTACTGTTGATTGTGTATTTTTCTGGGCAGGAGCTTTCAATAGAGGCATGTAAATGTGCCCTTTTACTCCCTCAATCTATACAAATAAAAAGAATTTAACATTTCTGGAATGTTAAATCCTTTACAACTTTAAGGATTTAACATTTTTGGTAGTGCAACTGAACTGGTGATCAAGTCTTGTAGCTTTTGTATGTCTGAAAAAGTCTTTTTTTAACAATATTTTTTGCCAGGTATAGAATTCTAGGTTGATAACTTTTTTCCTTTCAGTACTTTAAAACAAGATACTTCTTGCTTGCAGTGTTCCTGCTGAGCAATGTGATCTTTGTCTATACATAATATTTTTTAAGTTTTTTGTTTTTAAGATTTTCACTTTATCACCGGCATGACAATTTTGATTATGATATTGCTTGGCACAGTTTTTTCCATGTACCTGTGCCTTAACTGGTTTGGGTATGGGCTTATCATTTTTAGTTTGGAAAGTTTTCAGTTATTATTTTTTTCCACATCTCCTTCAGGGATTCCAATTTTCCATTTATTGGGCCCCTTATAGTCCCACAGCTCAGTCATGGTCTTTTCAAATATTTTTCTCTTTTTTCCCTCTCTGTGACTTATTTTGTGCAGTATATACTACTATGGCTTCAACTTTATTAATCTGCAATTAATTTGATTAAGTGTATTTTTCATACTATGAAGTTTTTAATCTCTAAGAGTTTGATGTAGGTATTTTTTTTTTATTTTCCACATTTCCACTTGACTTTTTGAACATATAGAATACAGTTATAATGACTGTTTTAATGTCTTTCTCTGCTAATTTTTACATCTATGTAATTTCTGGGTTGGTTTGATTCAATATCCTCCTCATTATGGGTCCTGTTTTCCTTCTTCAAGCATGCCTTTAATATTTGATTAGCTACTAGACATTGTGACTTTTACCTTGGTGGGTGCTGGATATTTTGATATTTCTTAACATCTTTAGTCTTTTTTTGGGATGCTGTTAAATTACATAAAAACATTTTGATCTTTTTTTGGCTCTAGCTTTTATAATTTGTTTGGCAGAATGGAGCTGTCTAGGCTAATTATATTCTACTATTAAAGGAAGGTCTTCCTGAGTACTCTTCGCAATACCCTGTGAATTAATGAGTTTCTCCAGTGTATTTGATGGGAACAGGTGCTATTGCTGGACCTATGTAAGTTTCAGACACACTTTTCTCTTACCTTTTCAGATGACCGTTTTCGGCCAAGACCATGTCTGCCCTGCGAGCACAGAGCCTCACCCTTGCTGCTCCACTGCCCATCCATACCTGCTGTCAGCTCACCATGGATGATGATATTGCCACGCTCATTGTTGACAGTGGCTCTGACATGTGCAAGTCAGGTTTTGTGGGCGATGATGCCCCCTGGGATGTCTTCCCCTCCATTGTGGGACACCCCAGGCACCAGGGCCTGATGATAGGCATGGGTCAGAAGGACTCCTATGTGGGTGACGAGGGCCAGGGCAAGAGAGGCATCCTCACCCTGAAGTAACCCATTGAGCATGGGCATGCATCAGAAGGACTCCTATGTGGAGGATGAGGCCCAGAGCAAGAGAGGCATCCTCACCCTGAAGTACCCCATCAAGCATGGCATCGTCACCAACTGGGATGACATGGAGAAGATCTGGTACCACACCTTCTACCACAAGCTGTGTGTGGCTCCCGAGAAGCACACTGTGCTGCTGACCAAGGCCCCCCTCAATCCCTAGGTCAACAGCAAGAAGATAACCCAGATCATGTTTGAGACCTTCAACACCCCAGCCAAGTACATGGCCATCCAGGCTGCGTGCTGTTCCTGTATGCCTCTGGCCGTACCACTGGCATCCTGACGAACTCTGGTGATGGGGTCACCAACACTGTGCCCATCTATGAGGGGTATGCCCTCCCCCATGCCATCTTCCTTCTAGACCTGGCTGGCGGGGACCTGACTACCTCATGAAGATCCTCATCAAGTGAAGCTACACCTTTACCACCACGGTCGAGTAGAAAATCATGCATGACATCAAGTAGAAGCTGTGCTACATCGCCCTGGACTTTGAGCAGGAGATGGCCATGGTGGCTCCCAGCTCCTCCCTGGAGAAGAGCTACGGGCTGTCTGATGGCCAGGTCATCACCACTGGCAATGAGCAGTTCTGCTGCCCCAAGGCACTCTTCCAGTCTTCCTTCCTGGGCATGGAATCCTGTGGCATTCCTGAAACTACCTTTAACTCCATCATGAAGAGTGACATGGACAGCTGCAAAGACATGTATGTCAACACAGTGCTGTCTGGTGGCACCACCATGTACCCTGGCATCGCCAACAGGATGCAGAAGGAGATCACTGCCCTGGCGCCAAGCACGATGAAGATCAAGATCGTTGCTCCTTCCCAGTGCAAGTATTCTGAGTGGATCGGTGGCTCCATCCTGGCCTTGCTTTCCACTTCCCAGCAGATGTGCATCAGCAAGCAGGAGTATGTCATGTCTGGCCCCTCCATCATCCACGGTAATGCTTCTAGGTGGACTGTGACTTACTTGCATTATGCCCTTTCAGATGACTGTTTTGTTGGTTTTGGATAATTTCCTCATTTGTATATGCTGATGAGCATTCTGAAGAATACTCAAGGGGTAGATTCTGTAGATATCTGGGGTTCTCTCTCTTTGCAACTCTCTTTACCTGGTACTCTGTTCTATGAAATCTAGCTCCCTTTGTTTTCCCAGACTCTTAGTGCCATCTCCTCAACTCAAGGATTCCAAAGACCTCTTCTCTGTTCTCTTCCTAGAAATTCTTTCAAGGCAGTAAGTTGGTGTAATTATAGGGCTCGCTTTGTTCCCTCTCCGAGATTATTGTTCTTTGTTGTCTGATGTCCAGAGTCTTGAAAACAATTGTTTCATACATTTTATCTGTTTATGTTTGTTTCTTTTTCTGGTTGTTTCAGGCAGGAAGTAAATCCAGTCCCTGTTACTCCATCTTGGCCAGAAACAGATGTAGAACTTTTTCCACTGTCTACCTCTTAACGGTAATCACAGAGGGCCTGACAGAGAAGGGTGGTCTTTTCCTCCTCTCTTTCTTCACAGACTCCATTAGGTTTTAGGTCCCTAAATTCAGATTAGCAGGAGGGGAAAGTAAGAGGGCTTACTTATACCTCCTAAACTAAGCTTTGCTATCCAATTCAGGTTTTACCATTGCTATGTTCCAGTGGTTACCAGATACATGCTCAGCTATATTTGTACTTCATTTCCATTTGTATAGTGGTGTTTGTTTTTTTGTTACAAAAACTCCTTTGATTTTGGGAGTTCTGGAGAAATGAAAGGGTGAATGATAGGACTGCCTAAATATCACTTCAAACCTCTAATATCAGTCATCCAGAACCTTCAAATTTTAGAAGTGTGTGTGTGTGTCACACAATCACAACAAAACTTGTGTTACTAAGATACACTATGAATGGTTGGTTCAAATGAGAGAATAATTCTGATGGATTGAAATGTATAAACTGCCAACTTTCTCCGTAAAATTACAGAAGTGTGGAAGCATAGGAGAAGCAGTAAGAGAAAAGAAGGTATTGGTGATCAGCAAAGGTGTAGGTGATTAAAATTAATGACAGGAGTGGATGAGTTACTCTCAAGGCAGAAAAGGAAATGACCTTTGAAGACACATAGGAGTAGATGGTCAAGAACTTAGGTGGGAGAAGTGAATAACACGTGATCTGCAATACTATGGTCATAGAATGTCAAAGATACGGACCTTTCTATTGGGATAAAGGTGCTAGCAGTACTATTGTCGTAAGAACATAACAGGCAAATAGTCAAATGTGATATCTTATTGGCTTCTGGAGGTATATTAGTATTCCAACAAATGTAAGAATGAATAATCATTGATTGATAGTTACATAAACTCTTTCTGGAAGGTTCAAAATAGTCCAAGTTTTACTATACTATTGCAAAAGAACCAATGACCAAGTTTTATTGATATAGTAGGAAAATAACTGATTTAAAGCAGAGTCTCCTTCACCACTGACTACTTCTCTATGGCCACGTAACTATAACAAGACATACCATTTAAAGCCACTGCATTACCTTATACCAGCAATAAATGTAGTGAGAGATACTGTTTTGTTGATCAATGTCAAGCTCTGGAATAATGTAATACTGGTAGGGCACAGAAGCCTACATACCGAATGTCTTCTGACATAGTCATCTACTTGTTGCTTCAGTTCAACTCGGCGTGCATCAGTGAGTTCTTGGAGTCCTCGCCAAGGAGCAAATAGTTTCTTTTTCTTACGGCACTTTGCTAGGAATTTAAGCGCCTGGAGGGAAAAAAAAATTGAAGGCTTGTGATTTTTCTCCCCTAACTAATAAAACTATTTTCTCACTGCAATATATGGTAGTGACTACATTGCAACGCTGATTAATTCAGAGTGTATGTGAGGAGGGGAATGGGACTGTGACAAGATGCAGGAGAACAGTGACTTTTAAAATATATAGTCTTCTATAGATATTACAAGGATATGTTCATGTATTATTTGTGCAGTAAGTAATAAAGAGAAAAAAAAAGTAATGGATTCTAGTCTCAATTATAGTCCCTTATAAACTATGATTCTGTGCAAATCACTTGATCTCTAGAGGACAGGTTCTATGTCTATAGAAAACAGGGACCTTAGTCCTACGGGCTTACAGGATTGTAAATACCAAGGAGACAGTATTTCTGTCTGAATTCTTTCTGATGTCCTTCAGAATGGACTCTGGTAAAAAGAAACCTTGTAATAGGCATGATATGGTACACATTTGCAATTATACTTCCCAGTTGTTTTCACTTTTCTCATGTCTTTGTAGGTTTTATTTTCATCAAAGTATATGTTCACATTGTTTAAAGCAGGGTCAGCAAATCATGGCCCACAGGCCAAATCCAGCCTGCTGCCTGTTTTTGTAGGGCTCGAGAGTTAAAAATGTGTGTGTGTCGGGGTTTTTTTTTTTTGCATTTTACATTTTTAAATAATTTGAAGGGAAAAGAATATTTAGTGGCATGTAAAATTACAAATATTTGGTGACATGTAAAATTATATGAAATCTAATGTTTACAAATAAAATTTTATTGGAACACAGCCATGCTCATTTGTTTACTATTGGCTATGGCTGCTTTTGTGCTCTAACTGAATACATGTGACAGATTGCATGACCTGCAAAGCCTAAAATATTTTATAATATAGCCCTTCCAAGAAAAGTTTGCTGATGTAACTCTATTATTTAATGTGTCAGTTTCAATAAGAATTAATAGAATCTTAAATAATTCTTACTAGAATTACCCACTTACCCTGTCCCCCCACCCAAAGGCAACAATTTAACTCAGGTTTTTCTTTTGATATTTAGCTCCATCTACTTTTCTGTGATTTTTTTTTTTCAGATATATGTATTATCTATTGATTTTCTTATATGAAAGATATGAATTTAGATCTCTTTCACTACTTCTACTCCCCACCCATCCTATATTATTACATCATAATTTTAGTTAATGTTTAATGTTTACAAAATTATGACCACATAAAGGCTATTCACTTTTGAACAATATAGTATACTATAATTACTTTTCCTTCCTTGCACATTTTTATTTTCTCTGGAATTATTAGTTCTCTTTTTTCCCTTGGTTTGTTTTCCATATGCTTTCTACTGATTATATTTTACAAACTCTGCTCTAATTGTCAACACATTAAAACACATCAGGCATTTTATCAAATTCATTTTCTTGGACACATTTTCTAGAGCTTCTTGACCTGCTGCAATTTGAATTGACTGCTCTCTACACCTTGGGCATGGCTGTCCTCCTGTAGCCTCCATTCACCATCATCTTGGTGACTACTTTTCATCTTTCCTTGTGTTCCTTGGATTCCATGTTGCATTCTTTATCAGGTTACTCCCTTCTTATCTAAAAATGTCTTTGGTCTGTCCTTACCTTTAATTAATAATTTGGTTGGGAATAGAATTCTAGTTGGAAATCATTTTCCTTCAAACATATGACAGTCTTACTTCATTACTTTTTAGCTTCCAGTGTTCCTATCCAGATGTCCTTTTGTTCCCAGTACATTTCAAAGTATTATGAAATAAATATGGAAGTGTTTCTGTCACTGTATTGGACACTTAGTCCCCTTAATCTAAAATTCATGACATTCAGTTCTGGGAAATCTTAAGTTATTTGATTTTTTTCTCCTCTGTTTTTTCTTGTTCTTGATTTCAAATGTTTGGCTGTTTGACATTGTAGACTGACAGTCTTTTCTGTCTTTCTTTTTTAAATTAAAGATTCTGCCTTTTCTTTTTCAAATGATGTTTCACATGTTGATCAGGCTGGCCTAGAACTCCTGAGCTAATGCCATCCTGCCGCCTTACCATTCTGAGTAGCTGGCATTACAGGTGTGTGTTACTGGCAAAATCTTTTCTCCTTGCTTTCTGTGAGATTTCTTTAACTCTTCACCTACAGTCCCTTTATTAGTCTTTCAGTTTTCCCTGTTGAATTTTATTCTCTGTGCTCCCTTTTATACGGCATCTTGGTTTTGTCTCATATATTACCTTTCCTTATCTCTCTGAGGATAATAGTAACAGATTAAAAAACTTTTTTCCTTATACCTGCAACATTTATATTCTATCAATTAGTTTTATTCCATTGGTTTTGTCTTTGACTTTACTTAGCTGTTCAGTGATACTATCTTTCAGCTGATAAGAATGCGCACTAAGAAGTTATTTAAAAAGTTTCCCTAATACCCTTGCTTTTTTGGTATTTTTTTGAGACAGGGTCTTACTCTGTTACCCAGGCTGGAGTGCAGTGGCTTGATCATGGTTCACTGCAGCTGTAACCTCCTGGGCTCAAGTAATCTTCCCACTTCAGCCTCCCAAGTAGCTGGGACCACAAGTGTGCACCACCACGTCCAGCTAATTTTTTGTAGAGCAAGGGTCTTGTTATGTTATCCAGGCTGGTCTCAAACTCCTGGGCTCAAGGGATCCTCCTGCCTTGGCCTCCCAAAATGCTGGGATCACAGGCATAAGTTGTCACTGTGTCTGGCCTTGTTTTTAATATGGTACTTGAGTTTTCAATTCTGCTTGCATCCTTCTGTTGAGACTTTCTTCTTTCCTTCTATGCTCCCCTTTCCTTGAATTTTCTCTTTTAGCAAATTTCCTCAATTTTTAGCTACTGGAGAAACAATGCCTCTGTTTTTACATAAAGTAAGAGAGGAACAGAAGGTAGATAAATGTTCTGGCCTTTCTTTTCCTGCCAAAGGCATTAATAACCAGTTCTTCCTGAGGGACAAGTTTACTGAAAGGATATTGCTATTCCTTTATATTATCTTTTTTTATTTTTTTCTTTTGAGGCATTCCTATTGCCCAGGCTGGAGTGCAGTGGTGTTATCATGGCTCACTGCACCCTCAACTTTCCAGGCTCAGGTGATTTTTCCCCCACTTCAGTTTCCCGAGTAGCTGAGACTACCAGTACATGCTACCACACCTGGCTAATTTTTGTGTTTTTAGTAGAGATGAGGTTTTGCCACATTGCCCAGGTGGGTATATTACTTTAAATGAGGCTAATGAATTATTTCCCATTTTTTCTTAGCAAGGTCAACTGCAGTGCTAATATAATGTGAGTCTTAGATGTAATTTTAAATTTTCTAGTAGTCACATTAAGAATATTAAAAATGGGCAAAATAATATTTACTGAGTTATATAAAACATAACTTAATATACACAAAATATTAGTATTTTGTCTTGTAATCAATATAAAAAAGCATTAATGAGATACTTTACACTTTTTTGTCATGCTACATTTTCAAAATCTGGTGGGTATTTTACACTTATGACACATTTTAATTTGGACTAGCTACATGTCAAGTTCTCCATAGCCAGCTACATATACTTAATGACTACTGTACTGAACAGTGCAGGTCTCTAGCGTGTCTTAGAAAAGGTTGCTTTAGGCCAGGCACAGTGGCTTACACTTGTAATCCCAGCATTTTGGGAGGCTGAGGTGGGAGGACCACTTGAGCTCAGGAGTTGGAGACCACCCTGGCAACTTAGCGAGACTTAGTCTCTACACACACACACGCACGCACACACACACACACACACACACACACACACACCCCTAGCTGGGCCTGGTAGTGCAAGTCTGTGGTCCCAGCTATTATGGAGGCTGAGGCGGGAGGATCTCTTGAGCCTCACAGATCAAGGCTGCAGTGAGCTGTGATCTTGCCACTGCACTCCAGCCTGAGAGGCCAGAGAGAGGCTGTGTCAAAAAGAAAAAAAAGTAAAGGATGCTTTAAAAATATGGCAAAATGTATCCTTTATTGACTATTGCCTTGTTCTAATTTTCTCTACTTTTCTACTTCTTTTCTCAGTGTAATTTCCCATTTTTATTTTGCTTTTCCTTCTTTGAAGTCATTCTTGGCCAGGCATGGTGGGTCACGCCTATAATCTCAGCACTTAGGGAGGCAGAGGCAGGAGGACTGCTTTAGCCCAGGAGTTCAAGGCTTTGATGAACTATGAACACACCACTGTACTCTAGCTGGGTGACAGAGTTCAGACCATGTCTCTTAAAAAAAAAAAAGTAATCCTCTTATTTCCATTTCCATTTTGGCTAACTTTGCTTTGACTTCATCTTGTTTTTATTAATGAGATGCAAAGACTATAAACATGACCTTGACCCATCCCTTTTTGCTCTTAAAAACTCACTCCTTTTTAGCTACAGCAGATATGAGACAAATGTGACTAATCTTCCTTTTTTGCCAGTGAAAAGTATAAAAGCCAAAACAGCTTTACCTTCATGGCCTTCAGATACCTTCAGATACTCTCCTGTGATGACTTCTACATTTTTCTCTAAGAAATGGAATGCAAACCAGGATATTTCACTTTATAGTAGAGGATCCTTTTACAAAGTATTGGGCTCATCTAAATCAGGCAAGGTCGTAAGTCAACTTAATAAGGGCCTAGCTAATTCTATGAAAGGGAAAACTTTAAAAAGGAGGTATTTGCGAGGTAAAAGTATTATAAAGGCCAAACATTCCTCCAAAGGAAGTGTCTCCAACCCTGATATCAAATGGTTAATCCTTAGATGGCTTTGTTTAGCAGAAGGTAAATATCAGGAGTATGTGTGATTCAATGATGGTGCAGGACTGTTTGTTACAGATATAACCTGAGAACTCCAGAAGAGCCTGAAGGAGGAGTAGGAGGCAGACATCTCTTTTTATTTCTCTAGTGTTTATTCTACTATGTTTTTTGGATGGTTAAAAAAAAAAAAAAAACTTTGTAAAAAGTTAATCACAGAGACTGTTCAAAATCTATCAGTATAAAACTGAAATTGACCTAAAAATTCAATAATAAAGGATTGTTAAACTAAATGCTACAGGACCTGAAATCCTAACATGAAAGTTAACCATGTGGAAAACTGGTAATTAAATTAAAAAAAAAAAGCCTTCTGTTGTGCTTTTCAAAGGCAACAAAATAGTATTATGCTCTAGACAGATCGCAGAAAAACTGCCATTTAAGAATATGATTCTACAATTAAAATGTTATAATGATTTAAATATATCTAATATCTCATCTGTGCATTTAAAAAATGAAATATCACATGCTGCTCTTGCATTGAACTTTGTAATTTACAAAATACATTACTATAAATTAGGGCATCTGATCCACATAACAACTGAGTAAAAAGGGTAAGGGTAAACATCTATTCATACATCAAGCACATGTGATAAGCTAACAACAATAAGACTTAGCTCCTTATCCTTGAAGAACTCACAGCCCAAGTAAGGAGGGAAATAATTAACAAAACAACATTACAGTATAGTAAATGATGTACAAGGTACAAGGTTCTAAGGCAGTACTAAGGACCGAGTGTCTAAATCAGCTTGGCCAGAGGTAAGGGGGTTTTCTTTTAGAAAGCTAAGTGTCTTGACCAATGCTTTACCATAGGTAATAAGCAAAGTCAGGTTTGCCTGACTCATGTTTTTGCCTCTTCATTCAGAGCTCTTTTTTTACTACATTGGACTCACTGCTCTTTGAAGTGTGACAGCTGCTTTATACTCTGTGAGAGACTGCCTCTGTTGGCGAAAATTTTTCCTTTCCCTGTACCCTCTCCAATGTTTCTGGATAATCAATGCTGATTTCTCTTCCATTTCCCGATTGTGTTTCTCCACCTGACCTAAAAAGATGATAGACACTATTACAATATACTCACTGCTATGCTTTCTTATGTTTTGCAATCATAACAATGATAATAATAATCTTGCATTCTTTTTATCTTTGTCAATATTGTTTACTAATTTTCCCAATTCTATTATTTTACAATGGTTCTAAGATTTTAGAAGCAATGCTTTCCCAGATTATGCAGCTTCTTTAGAGAAAGAACTCATATAATATTTTTGTGGTAATGAGCAAATGGCTGAAAATCCAACACTAAGAACATTTGAAAAAAAGAACCATAAGTACATGGTTACGAAGTCATTCAGTACCACCAGAGGGAAAGGGCAAAATGTGTGTATGTATTCTCTAGTCTACGTGCTTCCAAATTTCTCTTAAGTCACTCAGTCAGTTATACAGATGACTTTCTTTTTGCTTTCTTGGAGTTGTTCAGTATACAGCCCAGGGTTCACAATACACACATGACAGACTAAGGTAGTAAAATTGTTTATAAAACGAGGGATGTATCTGAGGGAGTATAAGAAACTGGTAGAATTTAATGATCAATTGCATATGGAGGTAAAAGAGGGAAAGGACTCTAGCATTTCTTAAATGCGAAACTGAGTAAGTTCTTGGTGCCATTACCTGAGATTGTGAATAGAGGAAAAGGAAATCTGAGGGGTAAGATGACTTTGGTGTTTGGGATGCCTGTGGATATTCAGGTAAAGCTGGATCCAATAGGCAGCTGGCTACAGAGCTGTGTTATTCAATACAGTAGACACTATCCACAACTGGCTACTTGGGTTAAAATAAAGTAAAATTAAAATTCAGGTTCTTCAGTGCTCTAGCCACATTTCAAATACTCAGTAGCCATCTCTAGCCATTGGCTACCATACTGGATGGTACAGATATACAACATTTCATTTTTGTAAAAAGTTCTATTGGGCAGTTCTGCTCGAAGAGGTTAGGAGAGAAGGTGAAGATAGAGACCAGATTTGAAACTGCTTAGCACTCAGCTGAGAGTTGAGCTAGTTATGGATGGATACCACAGGAAGAGCAAAGTGAGAGGAATGGAACCTTAGAAAATATCTGTATTTAATAGAGATGAAGTAAAATAAAGGACTAGTGAAGCACCCTGGGACTGAATAACAAGAAGAGAGGTAAAAGAATTTAAAAGAATACTGAAACCACTAAGAGCTCCCAGACCACACCTTATTATTAATTTCAGCTTAGTCTTTCAAAGGTGGCAAGAAGATGTCACAACGTTTGTACTAACGAATAAGTTAAGTTCTGATGGCAGAATGTAATAATATTCCAACTCCTTATTTCAATTCAAGAAGTTTCTTTGTGTCTCTAACAGCTATCTTTATGCATAAATTTTTATGTTTCTCTAATTTATCTGAATGATAAGAAAAGAAAACTGGTGGGGAGATTGTTCATCATCAACGAATAGGTCTGAATCAGAAAAAAAGTAACTGTTTTTGAACTCAGAAGATTTAATAAAATTTATCTGAAAAATAGACAAAAAGGACAAAAGTACAAATTTTTAAAAAATCATCATGTAGCTAGAAAACTTGGTTTGTTAAAAGATAAGCTAAATATTCTTATATTTATAATGTGATACTGCCACTCACCTGGATGAACTATTTCCAGCATATTCAGCCGCAATTCTCGGGAAAGTCTCATGGCTCTCTGTCTTTGAAGTTGCAATCGTAATCTGAGGTCCTCTTCTTCCTTCTTCCTGTTTATCTCCAGCAACATCTTTGTTCGTTTAGATCTGTGATGTAAATAGTGTATTATACATAATTTTCATAAATCATATGTTTAAAAAATGTATGAAAAAATATATAAACTCACTAGTAATCAAATAAATGTAAAAAGATAATTTTATAAAAAAGGTAATTTCTAGTGTCATTAAGATATGATAAAATATTTTGTCACCTGCTGCTGTTGTACAACCTTTCTGGGGAACTATTTGGGTATATGCATTAAAAGTCTGGAAAAATATTTGAAGTATATAAATCAAAAGCCTTAAAAATGATGACCAATTAATTCCATTACAAATAATTTTCCTAAAGAAATAATCAGATATATACGTACAAATTTATGTTAAAAAATGTTCTCCACAGTATTACAACAGTAACAAGTTGAAAACAAACTTTCCATCTCACAACAGGGAGTTAGATAAATAGATTCATTCACCTGATGGGATAGGATTCTATAAACTGCGAAAAAACAGCATGTTCAAAGAATATTTCGTGACATGAGAATACACCGATGATCTAATGTCAGGTTAAAAAGAAAATCGGGATATAGAAGAATGATATCCAAATTGTGTGAAAAAAATTTATATTTACTTACACAGAAAAATAAATAATTAAAAAACATTAAAATTTCAAGTGATTTTTACTGTATAATGTGATTACAGTTGGTCTTTATTTTCTTCTTATTCTACTTCTCAATTATTGACAACTGAACATTACTTTTATAACTGGTTATGAAAATTTTCATGTGGCCACATTTTATAGAATTATCATTTCCATATTACCTGTTTTTATTCATCAAAATTTCTCCTTAGCCATTCCTAATTTTTGTTGCTTCCAATATCACTATGTAAGGGGACTACAAGTGGTCAGTTTACCGTAAATATACTCAAAATGCTTTCAGATACCCATAGAGAAAGAAAACAAGGATAAGAAGAGAGGCAGAATAAACAACTTAAGTTTAATTGTATAAATTTAATTTTTTATGTGTCCCTCAAGAACATTTTCTTTTAGATCTTTTTCTTAGAATTAAATGTAAACAAATGTGGTACCTTGACTATAACTCTGTACTCTTAAAAGCCAGACTTCATTATAGTATAGAGAGGATTATGATGATTTTCAACTCAAAATAGTTTGATAAAATTTTGTAATTATTTTGATTGTTTTGATAAAATTTTGTATTCCTGCGGTTGTTTCTCAAAAATTCTTAACTTTCATCAATTATAAGTTAAATTTTCTCTAGCTTTCTACTTAGGACAGACTAGAGGATTTATTTGTTTTGAAACTTCTTTCTTATCCCTATTATCAAAAGTAGAGAAGACCTCAAAACTGTATGTGTATCAAAAGGTTCTAGAGAAGATGCAGGGCTAGTTGAATAGTTCTAAGTGTCTCTTGCTCTTTCTCTTTGTGAAAGTTGGAAATGAAGTAGGGAAGGGCCTCTCCCTTCCCAAAGAATAGCTGATAGCAACTTGCCTCTTCTACAGAACTTCTTCACCTCAAAACTTCTGGGTTGTACAGCATGCAGATAATAATGTTTTATCTTTTATCCATTCACAGAGGGTAAAAGAGAGCAGGCTCTAAGCAGAGTCTCCTTTCAAACTGATTTTTTAAAAAACTACCTCTGGCTAGGCACGGTGATTCACACCTGTAATCCCAGTACATTTGGAGGCCAAGATGAGTGGATCACCTGATTTCAGGAGTTAGAGACCAGCCTGACCAACAAGGTAAAACCCCATCTCTACTAAAAATACAAAAATTAGCCAGGTGTAGTGGTGCGTGTCTGTACTCCCAGCTACTTAGGAGGCTGAGGAAGGAGAATTGCTTGAACTTGAGACCTGGAGGTTGCCGAGATCACGCCACTGCACTCCAGCCTGGGTGAAAGAGTGAGATTCTGCCTCAAAAGAACAAACAACAATAGCAAAAAACTACCTTTATTTCTAACTTCTAATTGGTTATAGATTATAATGTCCAGCGCTACATTTTCAATATTTTAAATATACTATTAATATGGAAAACATAGAAATTATTAAAATTGCATTGCTAGAATATTTAATCTGTCAGAAAACTGGGTTTGAGAAACAATTTAGGCATGTAGGCTATGAAATGTGGGAAAAATGAAAAGACTATGGAGCATGAAGGTGAAGGTAAAATACAAATCAGAAAGACAGGATAAAAGTGAGGTTTGGTGATTTAAATACTGACTAAATTGTAAATAGGTATGCTTATTGGATTTGTATGTTTTATTTTCATGTTCAAAAACATTTATTAGGAACTGATGTGATTGTGAATGTAATTCCCCTATTTATTATTAAATAACATCTAGTTAATTTTGTTAAGAGTTTCTATAATCACTAAAAAATCAAAGGATTATTCTTCCAACTGGTTACTTTGTAAGAATTAGTAGGAACTGGATCATCTGGCATGCGTATTATACTCCTGAAAATGAAATGACTGATCAGATATCATATTCTGAAAATAAGTAAATTCCATGATTCACATTTGATAATATGAATTTTAACCATTAAAGTCGGAGTTGACCAAACTTTCTGCTGCCAAAACACTGTGCTTCAGAGAGAGAGAAAAAAAAAGATACTACTGCATTTAAGAAACTCAGTTTCAGGGAGAAATCAACAAATGTAATTAAAATACTTAAAAATCAGCACTATGATAGAGGTAGGTAAATTGTGAGATTTCTCTAAGATAACTAGATCAGCTGTTAGCTGCTTCAGAAAATCTAACTGAAGAAGAGTGGTTAAGAGACAATAAAGTTTCTAAATATGAGAAATGACTAAATAAAAAAGAAACCACTATGAAAGTGTGTTAACAAGGGTGTGACTATAAAAGAATGCCTCTTGCTGAATCTAAAACACACCAATCAATAATGGACCCATAAGCATGACTGGTGGGCAGTCCCTCTCCTAAAACCATGGGAGGGGCAAATTACTGAGATAAGACCTGAGCACAAAAAGACAGAAATAACCTTTGAAAAAAAGCCAAGCTACAAAGGAAGCAAGAGACATTTGCATGAACTGTAACAACTAATAGAAGAGGGAAGGTGCTGAACTGGAGCAAACTGAAAATTAAAAAATTAAATAAATCCAACAGGCTAGAACTGCATTTCAGTATATTCTGGGACCTCAAACGCAAAATACTGGAAAGGCAAAAAACAAGCTGTGAGTCTTAAATCATTTTTGCTTCACTGATTATCTTTTTTAATGGAAGTATTTATAACTCTTCTTGTCACATAAAGAAAGCAATGGAATTTCTATTTTAAAATAATGGAATATTAGATTCCATAGATACACTTCTAAGTGGAAAAAATCTGTAATCCTGGGCTACTTTTAAATGAAGATTTTAATATAGAAAGAGTATACAAACAAATTTGGCAACTGTTGTGGGACTAAACATTAAAGCTGTGAATCCATGTATATGGGTACCTTTAAATTTAAGATGACAGATAACTAAGAACGATAGCAGGTAGAATCCGTAAGTAATACCTACTCTTTCTGAATTCACCACAGAAGGCAATACCAAGAGCAACTTAAATGCTTTGGGTAGAAAATATACACTGTGACTCAAAAAGTACTCAATATTTCTTAAATTTATCTAACCACAGAAATGCTTAAAAAAAAAAAAAAAACCCAGCTTGTAAGATAGGCAATAAACTTTGAGTAATAGATGGATAATACTTGCATCTCATTAGTACTATCTATTTAATGCACGTATTTGTCTAGCTAAATTTGTGTATTTTCAAAGACTGAAAGTGTACCATGTGCATTTTTCCTCCTACCATCTTCTAATTGCCAGATAATATGCTAAAAACTTTGTATTATCTGAAATTTTGCATTATATTGATCATACAAGCGTAAGAACTATTATTCTCATTTTATAGACTGGAAGTTTGAAGCCAAGAGAGGTGGGGCATTGTTCAAATTCACTCAGCCAATAAGTTGTGGAAGTGTGATACAAACTTGAATCTGTTAAACTGCCAGGGGATGGATCACCTGGTATATACTAGGCACTTGATATATATTTAAAAACTAATTCTTTTCTTTGCTACCAACAATATTCACACCCAGAGTGATTTTAATATCTTCAACCCTGTGACTACATGGTATATTGAACTATTTTTAAATATTTTTTTTTAAAAACAAAGCTATTTTTAAATGTTTTTATAACTGAAAAATGCATCTGCGGTTATTAAAAGAATAGTTTCAGTTTTCTTTAAAAAATATACTTCTGTAAAATGCTGGTTTTATTTTAGTGAACTAAAGCTTGGCTTTAAGTTAGGCTGCATGAAAAAGTCACCTCTGAAACAGTTCTTCTTTATCATAAATAATCTAGAAGCTGAGTCATTTTTTGTTGTTCTGTCACCTCTGAGAATCTGGATTGGTTAATCATTTCAGAAAGTGAGCTATGTTTTCAGTATTTCCTTTTCATTCTACTTGAAATAAATGACAAACTATATCACAACTCAATGACCATATCCATCCATGCCATATTTATTCAGGAAAATCAGTTAACATACTTAAATTCGTATATACGCATATGTTATTTTTATAATCATATACACACAATTATGATAACTGCTGCTTTGTTTAATAATATAATTATCATTGGCTCCCTCTGTAGGCTTGGCTCCCATAAATATCTTCTTAAGTGGATAAAATTGTATATTTGACACATCAGATTCCTGTGTTATGTCCTTTGCTTTGAAAGTACATCTGGTTATTGGAGTGTTGGAAACGTATGGGAAAAAAATTGGAAAGATAAAAGAAACATACTGGGAAACTAAAAAAAAATCACCTGAATTTCAATTCAACTATACTTTAGTAAGGTTCTTTGATCATCAATCCTCTCACCAAATTTTTTTTACCTGAAACTTCTCTGCAAAGCAATCACAGCAGATGGAAGCTTCTTTAATCTCTTTCTTGTCTGAAAACCCTTCCAATAGGCTTGAATCAAGCATGCTGCTTGATGTAGTTTCTGAAATTAAAAATAATTTAGAAATATATCTAGGAAGGTCTTTTTTTTTTTTTTTTTTTTTTTTTTAAGTTTACCTCTTAAAGTATCAGGTCAAGGCAAGTATTAATCTCCAGCTCTAACAAGATGGGTAAGAATATTAAACCTTACCTCCCAAAGGAGGTATGTTAGGGTTAGTAAGGCAATTTCTAGAACATATTAAAGATATACTCTAGTTAGCTCCAAATTCTCCTTGAATAATCTCACTTCCATTTCCTTTTCAAAGATTTCACAGTTCTGCCTGACCTTTCATAATCCTTTTTGAGATAACATGTTAATGTTTTTATTTAATAGGCAATCAACCTAGTTAGATTCAAACTATAAGCTCTGTTGATCCTTGTGGATGATTGCTTGAATCTCTGCTTAGTTCTGCAAGCCTTTGGAATGCTAGCCTCCTGATAGACCATTGGGCTTAAAAGGCCAACAAACTGTCTAAGTTCTAGACTGAATTCTGTCCCAGTTTCCTATTTACTTAGTAGACTTCTGAGTCCTGAAATGGAAAAGCAAAGGGTACAACTATTAATAATAAAATAAAATTTTATGATTTTGTTACCTAATCAATATGAATTTGAGCACATGTATAATTTTGAGATTAACCTAAATTCTTGCTGGTTCATATATATATGAAAAAAGAAATTCCCTTCTTCTGTACTCTTCCTTCCAGGCTCTCCAATTCACTGCCCTGCCTTACCAGACTTCTTTTCATGGTTTCTGCTTGTATTTTTAAATTTGTTGCCCTTTTGGTCTTAGATATACAATGTCACCTTTTCCTTTTAAATTAAAAAATATCTTTAGTCATTTTAGATGTTTTCCATATTTGAGTCTTTATCTGGAAATCAGAAAGGTATATGCCTCTTCCTATTGGACTGGGCTATTTAGATCCATCATTTTGAGTATACTAGAGGAAGTATGATGAAATAATCAATAACTTGCTGCCTCAAATTTCTAAATATTTTTTATTAATAGTATTTCTTACACAAAGGAAAGGCATTATTGTTGTATCTCAAAGAACAAGAAGGGTAGCCATAGGTGATCATAAATATAGTTTGCTACAATCAGAGATTTTTTGGAAAAAGAAATTTAAAAGTTTAAATAGCTTATAAATAAAAGAAGATAAACATCAGAGATGGGGCTTTCATGAGAAATGCTGAATGAAACTGATGTGGCAGTATCTATAAGCAGATGTAAATGGGAGACTCAAATTGCGTTTTAGGGTAGGTTGAATAGCAGAGAGATATAATTTTGTAAAATTATATTTTAAAGATGGGGTTTTACTATGTTGACCAGGCTGGGCTGCAGTGGCTATTCATGGGTGTGATCATAGGGGAGTCTCCAATTCCTGGACTCAAGCAATCCTCTTGCCTCAACCTCCTGAGTAAAAATTTTGAAGATATTTCTATTTTGGGGGTATTTTGCTTGAAGTCTTAAGAGAAAGTAAGTGAGGAATGTTTAAGGAAAACTAAGGTTTAATACAGTCAGCAAATATCATGCAAGTTTTTTTTTTTGGTAACATAATACCTGCTCTTCTACTTCCTGATAGACCGTTGGGCTTAAAAGGCTTACAAGCTGTCTAAGTTCTTTACTGACTTCTGTCCCAGTTTCCTGTTTACTTAGTAGACGTCTGAGTCCTGAAATGGAATAGCAAAGGGTACAACTATTATTATAATAATAAAATATGATTTTGTTATCTAATTAGTATTAATTTGAGGCTAAAAAGTCTGGCTTAAAAACAAATGAAAACAAGATTAATCACATGATTTTTCAGTTACCTTTTCTCACAGACTTCTAGGTTGAGGTCTTTAAGATAGCTATCTGTTCTGAGAATTCCTACGTGCTAAACTGTGAGATCTGATTAAAAAAAACTCTGTCTAGACAATCTCTTTAATAAAAAAAAAAAAAAGAGGAGGATGGAATCACTGTGATAAATCAAAAAGTAGAGATAGTTTTTATTTTGTTTGAACCTAAGTGTCTTAAATAGAAACATTGTAAAGATAATTACTATAAACACATATTCAGTAAATGCTTGCCCTGTGGAAGCACTTATGCAGATTATTACTAGTCACTATTAATTGAGAAATATTACTATTAAATATAAACATATGGTAACATATATAGTTTGGGGCAAATCAATAGGTTCCTGAGAAAACATTATAGGTGAAGTGCTATAACACTAGGATAGTACATTTTCATGACAAAATAATACATAATAGTAGTAAAAGGTACAAAGTAAGTACTGTTTCCAGGTTATGTGGAAATGATGTATTATAATGTATGTATATTAAAATAAATACATAAGGCAAAATTGCCTTCTAGTGTATAATTAGGGAAACCACTATATGAATCTTTTAATGCTTTATACTCTCTTCAAGACCCAAGTTCTTAGCAGTATTAATAATTGTAAAATATCTTCAGGAACCTGAATAAGTTCTGCTATTGAGATACATCAAAGAAAGGGAGAAGGATCCAATCATTACAAAATTCCTTTATAAAGACTTGTTGGACATTCACATTTCTTTAGCAATCCAATTACAGAATTGAAAAATGTCTATCTGGCACAATATCAACTAAAGAGCTCTATTACTGGTACTTTCCCTCTCTATTCCTACAATACCCCCAGTAATGACTAATGCAAGGTACATTATTACAATGTCTTCAAAATCATCAAGAATGATAAAGACTTTCCAATTGTTTAGGTATTAAATGCATCATAGTATATTATAACCTTTAAAAATTCCCATACAGTATAACCCTATATTAATAAGTATATTTAATGAAATAGAAACCCATTTCCTATCCACACTGAATAAGAAAAATAGATTATAATACATACATGGCTCTGGTCAGCAAAGAAATAAAACAGATAACATAAACCTTTGCTTGGCAATTACAAATATATATATACTACTTTGTGATCTTTGGCAAATTACCATGTCTTTGTTTCTGTATCTACAAAATAAGGATAAGTATCTATCCCATAAGATTGTTGTAAAGGTTAAATATTTTAATGCATATAAAGTATATAGAACAGTGCCTGACACACAGTAAATGCTCAATTAAATGGAAGCTATTATATGAGAACAGTAATATACTGACTCCTTTCATCCTCAAAATTTCTGACTTTTAATTCACATATGTATTTGATTTTGGAGATAAGGCAAATTTTTTCTATTTGTTTTTGAGAAAAGGCAGTGTTGAGTAATTATTAATAGTTCAAAATACCAAAAGGGCTACTGGCCTCTCAAGCACAGCTCCATTTTCTCCACTAAAACTGGTCTTGATAAGGTCACTGATCTTTTTGGTCATTATTTTACTATACTATATGGTATATTCAACACACAACCTTTTCGTCAGAGAGGGAGTAAATATTTATTGCAACCTGATCAACAAAGTACCTACCACATGCCATCTGTATTGACATGAAGACAGCTTGATTATATAAAGACTGTCTTCTGAATTGGTATCTGTTGTGAGTTTTATCTTCATAGTTCAGTTATTAACTCTTCAAAATATAAGAATTTTGTTTTTCATAAACCATCAATAAACATTTTCTTTTTGAGAATCCCATGAAAAGAAAGAATGAATGCAGTACCTTTGTAGCAGGCACTTTGTCTCAGTAAAATCAAAATTTCCTGATGGGATTCAGCCATCAACAGTAGGAGTTTTGTAGCAGTACTTCTCATTACTGGACTAGAAGTTGAAAAAAGCTTGAAAATAACTTCATCTAAAATGGAATGCAGGGCTTTTCCTCCTATTCTGAGTAAATCACCACTAATAGAACAAAATTTTAAAAAGTACCATTACTAATTGATGCACAGGTATCACAACAAATTTAAAATAAAAGATTCAGTAACTTAATGCTGGACTGTGTCCTGATACAAGAATATAACCACTTTTTAAAATACATAGGTTGATTCCAAGAATATATCATATTCAGTCACTTAATATTTATTGAATTTCTACTATGTCCAAGGTACCATGTGTGCTAGGTACAATAGAGAATACAAAGTAGTCAAAGGCCCTCTCCTTAGAGAATCCTTCAATCAAATCAAGGAGGAAAGGTAAATGTGCAAAATATTAAACAATAAATAATTCAAAAGCTTCAAGACAATGATAAAAGTGAAATCAAGACAAGTACACAGTTAATTGTTAAATAATGTACAAAGACAAAAATGCCATAGGAATTCTATCATGTTCTTAATATAGGAGAAACTTAAATCTTTCCTTGGTATTTCCTTCATTATACTAACAATCTCATCTTGCATTACTGATGTCATGGAAAATTATTTAAAACTTAGAATTAGTCAAAAGAATGGGGTTAGTGAGTGTCCTTTCACTTACACCCTTAAGGAGCATGTGATTTTCTAGGCATATGTACCTCTGTTTTATTTTCTACTCAGTATTAAAATATTTTACAATTCTGTAAAAATAGAGGTTGGCTGGTAGAAAACAATGCCAAAAATTCCTATCTAAGAACAATGTAAACAGAATCTTATTCAAAGCAATACAAATGATTTCTGTCCAGTAGACAAAGGTAATTCTAAAGGCTACATTGCTTTACAAGACATTAAAGTCATATTTTCCAATTAGCAAATTTAAAGAATATCTACCAGCAAATTGATTTCTATGTTCCTTTGACAAAGCAACTCCATAAATCTATTTTCCGCAAATTCTCCTTTGAACCTGTATAGATATCTTATTTGTTCCCTCATTAATTAATGAGATGAATAAAATTTTGAGCAGTTAAAATTTATATTTGTGTAAGACTCATGTTTGAGCTTTTTGAAAATTGTACTTTAGTAATGACTAAAATAATTTTGTTAAGAGAAAAAGTGATCAGCAAGATACCTTAAATGTAAAAATCTTTAGGTTGAAAGACTTTATAAAGTTACCCAATAAAAATATGTGAGAATCTCTGACATCTACTTCTGTGCCACTTTGTCTTTTAAATAGTATTCCCTATGCCTAGGATGGTCACCCTTTCCCATCAGTCAATGTTTTCACACCATTCAAAACTCAGATAAAAAATATGCTCATCTCAGAAAGCCTTCCACAGATATCTCTATCCCAATCTGGTCACATCTTTACTCCATATCCTACCAAGAGTTTGTGAGTTTGTGCTATAATGTTAATATGCTAGTTTAAATGCTTTTAGATGCTCTTCAACTTCCTAATCTTAAAGACATCCTCTCTATACCACTAACTACCATCTTATCTCTCTGCTTCTCTTTTAATCCAAAATTCTCTGTCACCACTACCTCACTTCTCATTTCTCAAACCACTACATCTGGTTTTCATTTTTTTACTATTTCACTATATTATCTTTGATAAGTTCATTTCATCAGTATAACCTCCAAATGTCAAGTCACATATATATTATATGTGATTATTTTCCTAGACTTGTTTGTATCTGATACTCTTTACCTATTCAGCTTCTGTAATACAAAGTTCTGGTCTCCCCTCTACCTTCCACCCATACTTTTCTGAGCATTCTTTCTCATTTGTCTTTATGGACTCCACTTCCCCAGTATAACACTAAAAGGTTATTCGCCAAGACTCTGTTTTCAAGCCATTTCTTTTCTCTCTATTCATACTTCCTACTGATCTTGTCTTCTGTCATGTTTTTCACTACCATGTATAAGCTGATTTGTAAATCTGTAACTCTAGTCCAGATCTCTTGCAGAAGTCAGTTTACTTATTCACCTAATGAACATTTGAGTTATTGCTAGTCCTTGGTTATTACAAATAAACCTCAATGGACATTGGTGTATAAGTCTTTATATAGATACTTTTACTGACTGTTAAACTACCTATACACAACATAACCAACATTGAATTCATCATCTGTCTCACAAAACCAACTCCTTATATATTCAACATACCACAGTCTGTCTAATCAATATAGAAAGCTTAGTATCATACCTGACTGCACATTTTATTTTATCTACCTCATATCAAAACTTTCACCAAGTCCTCATAATTTTTGTTTTTAATAGCTTTTTAAAAACATAATTGATATATAACAAACTGCACATATGTAAAGCGTATACTTGCATCAGTTTGACATGTTTCACCAACATAAAACCAGAAAATGAATATATCCATCACCCCACAAAGCTTCCTTGTATTTCACTGTAGTTCCTCCTTTGTCTTCCCTATTATTCTATCCCCAGTTAACAACTGATTTGTTTTCTGAGAAACTTCCCTTTTATTACAACTTTGCTGAGAGGCTTTTTTTTTTTTTTTTAATAATAAAATTAGGAGAAGATAGATTATTTTTTAGAAAATTTTTTTTTTTTTTTCTTTTTTTTTTTTTTTTTTTTTTTCATTTTTAGCTTGTTAACTTAAGTTACAATGATTGACTTTAGAATATGAAACCAGCCCTAAATCCCAGGATAAACCAGACTTATTAATGATGTATTAACTTTTTAATATATTGTTGCATTTGACATTAAAATTTTGTTCAGAACACTTGTATCTACGTTTATGAGTATACTGATGAGTAGTTTTCTTATGTCTTTGCTTTGTTTTGGTATCAGGATAATGGTGACCTCATAGAATGAGCTGAAAAGTATTTCCTCCTTTTTCATTTTCTAGAAAAGTTTGCTTAAGATTATTATTTCTTCCAGAAGTGCCTAATAGAATTTACTAGTGAAAAAGCTATCCAGACTTGGAGTTCCCTTTGTGGGAGAGTTTTTAGCTACAAATTGAAGTTTTCTTTATAGCTATCTAGACTATATTTGGGTTATCTATTGCTTCTTGAGTAAATTTTGGTAGTTTGTGTCTTTCAATAAATTTGTCCATTTCATCTAAGTTGCTGAATTTGTGAGCATAAAGTTTTTCATATTATTCCCTTGTGATATTTTTAGTATCTGTAGACTCTTGTGATGTTACCTCTCTAATTCCTGAGATTGGTCATTTGTATTCTTTCTTTTCCTTTCTGTATTAGTCTTGCTACAGGTTTCTTCTTCTCCTCAAAGAACCAGTTTATGGTTTAATTTGTTTTCCCAAACAACTTCAATTTTCTCAAAGAACCAGTGCATGGTTTGTCTATTACTTTTGCTTACTATTTTACTGATTTCTTCTCAAACTTTACCATTTTCTTTCTTCTGCTTAGAGTTTAATTTCCCTTTTTTCCCCTACTTTAATACAGGGGAAAGCTGAGGTCAATGATTTGAGATTTTTCTTCGTTTCTAATACATAGACGTTAGTGATATAAAATTTCCCCTAAGTGTTATTCTGATTCCATTAAGAATTTCCCCAGAAATTCTCATGTTGTGTTTTTGTTTCCATTCACTTAAAAATAATGTCTAATTTCACTTTTCATTTCTTCTTTGTCTTATGAGTTATTTGGATGAATGTTATTATTTCCCACATATCTAGGGACTTTATAGAGATCTTCTTGGTATCAATTTCCAACTTAACTCCATTGAGGCCAGAGAACATACTTTGTATAACTGAAATCCTTTTACATTTCTTTTTTCTTTTTTTTTGAGACACAGTCTCACTCTGTCACCCAGGCTGGGGTGCAGTGACATGATCTCAAGTCACTTCAATCTCTGCCTCCTGGGCTCAAGTGACTCTCCCATCTCAGCATCCCAAGTAGCTGGGACTAGAGGCACGTGCCAACATGCCTGGCTAATTTTTGTACTTTTTGTAGAGCTGGGGTTTTGCCATGTTGCCTAAACTGGTCTCAAACTCCTGGACTTAAGCAATCTGCTCACCTCGGCCTCCCAAACTGCTGAGATTACAGGAGTGAGTCACCGTGCCCGGTCTCCTTTATGTTTCTTGGGACTTTTTTATGGCCCAGAATATGCATCCTTCTCTGTAAATGTTCCATCTGCATTTGAAAAGAAGATGTATTCTGCTACTGTTTGATAGAATGTTTTTAAAATGTCAATTAGGTCAAATTGGTTGATATTACTGTTCAAATCTTCTGTGGACATACTAATTTTTTGTCTACTTACTCTATTAATTATCAAAAGAGGTATATTAACATCTTTTGCTCTAATTGAGGATTTATTTCTCCTTGCCGTTCTTGTCAATTTTTGTTAGTATATCTTAAAACTTTATTAGGTCAATAAACACATCCTCTTGATGAACTGACTTTCTTATGATTATGAAATAACCTTCTTTAGCACTAGTAATATTCTTTGTTCTGTAACTTAATCTGATACTAATACAGGTACTTCAACTTTCTGTAGTATACGCATGGTGTATCTTGTTCCATCCCGTTACTTTTAACCTATTTGTGTCTTTATATTTAAGGTGCATTTCTGGTAGACAGCATGTAGCAGGCTTGTACTTTTTAAATCCAATCTGTCAATCTGTCTTTTAACTATAGTTTTTCAACATTTATATCTAATATAGATAGGTTCAAATCTACCACTTGGCTTTGTTTCTCCTTTGTTCTTTTTTTTTACTGTCTTCTTCTGGATTGCATATTTCTTAATGATTCATTTGTATTGCCTTTGTTGGCTTATAAGCTGTAAATTCTTTGTTTTGCTATTTTCTTCATTGCTTTGAGGCAAAGTATGTATCAATGTATCACAGTCTCATCACTTATCACAGTGATATTATACCACATCTTGTATAGTATAAGAGCCCCACATCAGTATGCTTCCATTTTTTTTTTTTTTTTTTGAGACGGAGTTTCACTCATGTTACCCAGGCTGGAGTGCAATGGTGCGATCTCGGCTCACCGCAACCTCCGCCTCCTGGGTTCAGGCAATTCTCCTGCCTCAGCCTCCTGAGTAGCTGGGATTACAGGC